CTGCTGCGTGCTTTTATTTTGGACGGTTTTACTAATATTACTATAACTGTCAAAAGGTGGGTAAAAAAAAAAACAATAGTTAATAACTTCTATATTATGTTTAAATCCATTAAAACATACTACTTTTCTACGGCTCATATATTAATTAATATTCTGTTATTTTTATTTTATTTTATATATATATAAATATATTCCCTATCTTCTACTTCGCAGCTGTAGCTACCCAAAGCGAGCACTACTTTATTCAAAAAAGGGGGGGGCGGGCGGAGGGACGGGGAGAAGAGAGGCGAGTTGATACGCACTTCCAGGCCTCTCAGTCCTACTTGTGTCGGCAGGATTGTGAGAGGACATGGCTCGGGGAAGACGGAGGCGAGAAGCGCAGAAAAACGAAGAAGAGTAAAACAAATATTTAAGAAAAAGGTTTGGGGAACTTTAACAACGAGGAACAGTTACAAATAAGGAGAGAGGGGAAAAAAAAAAAAAAAATACACAACACACAACAACCTACGACTGTAATGGCTCGCGTGGTGTTGCTAGAAGGTATCGTGGACTGTAAAAAAAAAAAAAAAAAAAAAAGAGAAAACGCGGGGCAAATTATATTTTTAATTGTAGGTTCGCACATCTTTATTCGGGGGCGGCCGGAGGGCTAACTGGTTAGCAGTGTTGTCTGTGAGGCGTTAAAAGAAAGAGAAAAAAAAAAAAAAAGTTTGTGGGAATGAGTGAAGAGGAGGAAAAGTGTGAAATAAGTTTCGGCTACCACGTTAAGAAGCGGGTGGATAATAATGAAAGGCGCTGTGCGTTTTTTTTAAAGTGTTTAAACCAATAAAACCCCTGTTTTTTCTTTGTTTTAACTCTTTTTTTTCTTGTTTAAACAGTAGTCGGCTGGTTTGAGGGCTGTGTTAGCTTCGAGCTAAAGTTAGCACCATCTGGGGGGTTGCTTGCATTTTTATAGCCATTTGCCTTAAGAAAATCCAATAAAAATAAAATAAAAAATGTCAGGGGGGGGTTAGTTAACTTTATGGCACTGGGCATTAAAGCGTTGTGTTGTGGTTCGTGTTTCCGCACTGAAAGCATTTTTGCGGTTGTTTTTTAAGGTTTAAACAGCGTCTTTCTGACCCCCCTCTTATCCTCCCTTCTCTGGGTTGTGCTGCTGGCTGCTTCACGTTGCTTCTAAGTTTCTTCGTTGTTCCGTGTTTTGTCCTTGTGTTTCTGTCTTGTCAAGCGGTTAGTTTCACATGGTTTTCACCCAGTAAAAGGCAGCAATATCGTTGTCGTAGTTGTCCCCCACTGGTTTTGTAGATCCTTGGTTTGAAACCGAGAATGACTTTAGTTTTACTAACTGTATGAGCAGTGTTGGACTTACTTTTGAGTGGTAAACTTAATTTATTACCTCTGATTACTCTTTTCAAAAGTAATATCACTTTACTTATTACTCCCTGTCAAATGTTGTTAGTTACGCTGCTAGTTATATAACTTTTCCCCCTTAAATTGGTAACTAATTGTGTCCTTTTGCCCCAAAATTCAGACATTTAACGATTAAATCCATTTTTTGTTTGTTAAAATCAAAGTAATGTGAATATTTCCAGCTGCGTTTGCAATCTTAACTCATTTATTTTTGTTGGGGGGCGAACTGTAATATTATTACTGACATGTATTAGTAGTTACTTGCACTACTAGTTACTGGGGTAAAGTAATATATGAGTTACTGCCTATAAAGGTCAATATAACTGCGATGTTGGGTGACTTTGTTTACCTAATGGGCATGGGACAATATTAAAATGTTAAGTCAGAGTTATCTTCACCAGAATGATTACAATACACAATATTACCATGATAATCACAAAAAACATACTTTACATACGTAAATCAGGAAATTTACCACAATAAATGTGTGTGAATGTTGTTGTTTATCCTGATAATGTCGTATATGGTCCCATCCCTACTACCACCTGCAGTTTGTTTCTTTCTCCAGGTATCATGGAGTGATTTAAGCTTTTGGAAAGTGATTCAGATAAAATGTGCATGGATTCTTCTTCTTTTTTTAAAACGTGTATGAATAGAAAGTCTGTTCTTTGGACTGCGTTTAACATACACAATATGTAGGTCAGACTCTTTGTCCTTAGTTCACATGTAAGTTCATGATTTCTGTAAGTCGGAACCACAAAACCAGCTTCAAACAGCATTACAGTTCATTTAGACCATGATTAGTCAATTGTCCGCTCACGATTGATTAGATTTTCAGCCTTTGATGGTGAACACACAGAGCTATCAGTTTGTACAGACGATGGGCTTTATCTGAAGGGTTAGTCGTTGAGATGCAAATCAGCTTCTGTAGTTGTCCCTTCAGGCAGGTGAGATCCACATCCAACAATAGTTTCTGCTCGTTTCAGGAGGATCGGATCTGCCCTTATGTTGAAATCTGTCACTCCTCTGCAGTAAACTGATGAATCACTGCTGATCCAGTCTAAAAAGAGGCCTGACTGATGGGCCCGCGTGGAAACAGCTGCTGGAACACAGTCTGCTGATTGTCAGAAAAACTCACTCGTACTCGGCTGACGGCTTTTTGTGTGTGTGTGTGTGTGTGCCTACATGTTCTACTTTTGGAGGTTTCCCTGCGCTTTCATGTGCGTGGAGAACAATGAGCAGTGGAAGTGGGCGCAGCGCTGTCGGACAGCTGTGAGCTGGAAGGGAGGGATCGGGGCAGAGATGGGACGAGGGAGGAAGCAGCTCTTTGTGGTCACATCCTTTCTGACTACGGCCGCTTTCACAAGCCCCCGAACAGCTGCTGCAGGCCGCATGTGTTGGACTGCATGATACGGACAGTTTTACATATCGCAGCGTGCTTTGTTTCCGTACTGTGTTTGTACTGCAGTGGACACTGTTAGGAACTCTGTTGGCACAAACATTAGATTGTGGTTTCAGCCTGATCTTCATCATTTTTAAGGTGGTGATTCAGTGTTAGGTCTTTTGGGACTGATGGATGCTTTCAACCGTACTTTATATCATATGTGTAATATCAAAGAGTTACCTCAAACCTTCTTTATTCATTCTTTCTTACTAATTTGACTTTGGAGTC